GAGAACGTTCTTTGCAGCAACGCTAACAAGAGTGTTCTCCAGTCACCCAATGATCTCCAGAAGCCTCAAGGACAAGATACTGCATCTGACCACTTCTATGTGCATATATCAGTTCATAAGTAAAAACACAGTTTTTTTGTTCAGCGAAGAAATTTCTTTTCAACGACTTCATTTTCAAGGTGTACAGTCGTATTTATATTACAGAAAAAGGTTATTAAGTGGCACTAGATAATTGCTCAGTCAATATGCATATATATGTGATAAGAATAAGTGGGTATTTTTCATGATATATCAGTTCACCTGCTGATGTGGAGCTAGATATATAGGTCGTTCAACGTGCAACCTGTCCAAGAGGATTCAAGACCACTATCCAGCATGGTTGCGAAAAGGCAATTGTAGTGCTATAATTGAACACCTGGTTAACACTGATCATTCCACTTCAACAAAAGCCTCCTTCAAAGTAATCTACAGAGTCAAGAATAATCTATCAAAGGATATACGGTTTCGCCTTCTTTGTATCGCTGAAGCTCTGGCCATTCACACAGAAAAACCGGAGCTGTGCATACAACAGAAGAATACTCAACCACTTCTACTGTCATGGTAACAACTTTTTTGATTTTGAGTACTTAATTTTGTTTTTCTCTATCTGTTCTTTAATTGCTTATATTTCTTGTATTCATTTAGAACTCTTGCGTAATTTCGTACTATCTACTTTGTTCCTATGTGCATACTGAGTAAAACTCACTCATCAAACTATTCATATTATTACACAACTTCTTTAAACAACTGTTTGTGACAACTCATCACCTATGTTACTACCCTAATCTCATTAACACCTAATTTTCTTGACTTGTATTACCAATCTTCAACTGTTTAGTTAAAATAACTATAACCAATTGTAATTTTGTTTGACAAACTTAATGTACGCATATATACAAAATAAAACATATATTTGCGATTGTAAACCTAAGAAAATGAATTCGCCCAAAAGAGATTTCGCTGATTTACCTGTTTTGTTTTCATTAATGCCTGGATGGGGATTATACATGAATAACAAGAAGCGTTCGACCGTTGGTTCGCTTAATGCTGGGGCAGGAAAATTCATGATTGCCTGAATCACAGTGGAACTTACTGAGTCCTATATCGACAAACTGATAACGACAGTCGTATCGAACAGTTCTGCTCATAAATTCATACGTTCCTCATCAGTGTTAACTTCAAATATTAGGATAGACTACGTAATCTGGCGAAATACAACTTCAAATCAACGACGGACTAGAATAAATTACTTAACCATAAGCTTTAGACGCAGAGAGTCAGTAGAACATTGCCACTCCTTCTGTAACACCTGAGTCTGTTGTGGCCAACAGCGACAGACAACAATCAGCCAGCACAAATGGGAGGAACCTGAAAGAAACAACATCCTTTACCTACCCACTCACCTGGGAAGCATCGTTTCAACTACAGGCGGAACTGACGAGGATATCAAAGCCAGAATTGGAAAAGCAAGACAAGCTTTCATTACTCTCAAGTCTGTGTGGAGGTCAACAGCACTCAGCATCAAAAATACGTTCCGGATTTTCAACTCCAATGTGGATTCAGTGCTACTATACGGGTCAGAGACTTGGCCAGCGCGTCATAAAGAGCATCTCAAACAAACTTCAGACCTTCATTAACAGCTGTCTTCGCTCAATACTCAAGATCAGATGGCCGGTCAGAAAAGATCAGCAACAGGGATCTGTGGCAGTGAGCGGACCAACCAGGAACCGATTGAGAAACAAACAGGCAGGAAGAAATGGAGATGGATTGGCCATACTCTGAGGAAACGAACCATCAAGTGACATCACTAGACAAGCCATCGCTCGAGTAGAACCAGGCCGAAAGGGAAGCGGCGAGTTGGTTGTGAGTGCCAGGGTGGGGTGACTTGGAGGAGGTCATGTGAAGAGGAGATGTAAGCATGTGGGCAGACTTTGAGCGAGGTGAAGACGTTGGCAGAAAACCGAAGGCAATGGAGACGCGCAGCTGAAGCCTATGTTACTCTAGGAATTAAAGGAAATAATAATAATCTAGTCCAGAAATGCATACCACTGTTCGTTTGAGGTACTTTAGCAGGTGTGGACTGCGTGGTGAGTGCTCACGAGCTGTCAGAAATAAACAGTGATGAACTGGTGGTGTTATCTCTAAAAATTGCTGTAAATAGCAAACACTGACCCACTATTTATGAATTAATAGATGCACTAACTATGAATAGTTTCCATTATAAGTATAAATTCATCTACAAATCTCCATTAAAAACGGATATTTCAATTGTTTTCTTTACCACAGTAAAGTACAATATACATACTTGCGTAATTGTACGAATTTCATTAATGAAAGCAAGAGCCGCTCGTAACACATAAAAATTCAACCAACGTTCAAGCTCAATAATAGTCGTATAAGATGGCACATGTAAGCGAAATCTACGCAGAGTCAAAACAAAATGAAACGAAAAGGACCTTTAGGCCTTCAGAAGCCATCAATCATGAGTTGTGAAACATGTGTTCATTCACTGGAATTACCTCACCTAAAACATAAGTGCATCCATCGGATAGGTTTATTCATGACAAATTTACGCTGAGAATGTCGGCAGTGAATACAAAGCACAGTCAGCAAATACAATGACTATTTGATATCACACGATAAATAAAATCCGATGATTACTGTAGTGTGCATAGGATTAACAATTGGACAATGTTGACACTGACACCTGTTTTATCGGACCGTCTTTTAATGAGACAGAAACAAAGAGAAGGAATGGTTAACGCTGACAAGGTATTCGATGACCGCTTTCCTTATACAGCCAATAGTACCCTTTCGTAGCCATGCGGGATAGAGTTCTTAAATCCTTTAGGACAGGATACGCGTCGAACGACCAATGTACCTGACTCCACAGCAACAGGTCGGCTGATATATGCACATAGAAGTGGTGAGAAGCGAGATGTTCTGCTCAAGGCTTCCTCAAACCAATGGAACATTGGAAAACACTACACTTAGCGTTGCTGCGAAGAATGTTCTCAGAGATGCTGAAATTTTCCTCCTTAGAAAATCGCAGTCTACGACTACCTTGAGGACATAGAAAGCTAGTTAGATGGAAGCAATCTACTTCAGGTGTAACAATTTCGACTACGTAGATGGTTGGCTTGAAAGATTAATTAGCAGTGATGACTGACTGACTATTAGGCTAACAACCCACTACACTGACATTCAGACTGCATTGCCACTGATACATGATGGTCTATAAAAGTTTGTCTGGACCACACCACTGACTTCGAGTACTACTTGTAGATGTAAAGTTCATGATTACATTCAATCCTAATAGTCCACTTCTGACAGTTTGATACACTCGTTAGCGGAACATCCCATACAACACATAGCCTCCACAGTTAGCTAACCCTCAAACTGGGTAGACATAGCTCTGGTGTCATCAGACTATGATGCCCCGTCATATGATGAAGACTAGTTGTCTTAGGTCACCATCTGTCCGTGTATCACAACTCCCTCGGTGAGGTCCGACAGATAATGCGAATCACTCACTCTACACATCAAACATGGTTGGCTGGCAATCGTAGTCAACTAACGAAGACGAAGCACCAACAAAATATCTACATACACTTAATACTACTAACACTTCTCCCCTCCCGACTGACTCTCAACTAATTCCTTCATACCTCTCATTCGCCGTCTCCATTATTAGTTATTCACTTCCATTACCCTTCCCTCCCATTCTCCTCGCCTCACTTCCCAGTTCTTCTTCTTGTTTCTCCCACACTAAAGGAGGAAATACCTCCTCCTGATATCTTCAAACCATGTCACTTACTCCTCCTCCTCCTCGTACTACTACTACTACTACTACCAGCTAGACATTCACACATTAACCACACACCCCCCCTTTCAATAACTTCACCACTCCAGTACACCCACACAAACACCTACATTGTGATTTTCAATCCCATACAACAGCCATACTTGCCCATTCACTCTTCCTCATTACAATCACTCACTCAAACAATCAGTCAGTCAGGAACTAGTATCCTTTACTTCGGAATACCACTGACGGTTCCTAAAGGCCTACAGATGTCAGCAGAGAGTCACGTCTTCAAACTGCAAGTCACTTCCTCCTCCTCCTCCACATCATCATCATTATGGATAACTATATCTCTCGCTTATTCCACTGAATAGCTAGCTAGCTTCCTTACGAGTTCGGGTGAAATTCCACGAGAATTTGAATTGTCGGTGCAGTATTATTAGTTGATGGATCGATTTACCTTTTGGTACAGTATCGATAAAGTTAGGTTGGTTCATAGAGTAGGTGTTGGTTGAGCAGATGGTTATGCTTATTTGTATAAGATGCATATTGTGAAGTGATGTATTCGAATCTGAATTGCTCTTGTCGGACTCTGGGTCAAGCTCCTGGATTGATGATGGCCTACAAGATTCATGTAGAAGCCGCAAGATGAACATGACTTAATAATTTGTTAGTTGGTCGCGGTTTTCAGCTGGTGTTAATTGACAATCGCCGGATTCATTGGAGTTTGTGTGTGTTGATGGTGATAGTATGTATGTGTAATGATGAGCAGATGAAATGAGGATGTTCAGGACAAGGTAGATAATTCTCTGAATCCACCGAGTAACACATACTAGATTAGCCATTAGTACTATATAACAATGGAAAATATCCGGGTATATGTAATGATAAATTGGCAAAATTTTACAAGGAAACAATGGGCGACAATGAACGCCACTTTTCAAGTTCCTCAAAAGCTCAAGCAGTCGACTTCGAAGCAATTGAAAATATTTCGGTGGAAACTATTTCCGGAAAATCATTTTACACTTGACTGGTGCAAAACGGCGCAATACAAAACAGAAAACGCTCTCTCCCTCTCTCTCTGTTTCTCCCACTTTTATGTAATATGTTCAAGTCATCCTGCAGCTAATAAGTAAAGAAGAACATTACAGCAGTATATGTTGAGCTTAGTATTTTTATACCTCAAAGTAGCTGAAAAGAATCTATAAGCAGTAACAGTTAATCTGTTCAATCTCATATAAATAACTTTTTAAATTTAATCTGTACTATTGAATAGAACTTACATCAGCACTATGCGAAACTGTTATAAAGAAGTAACAGAACTCCAATTAAAAGTAAAAAGTTAAAAACCGATTATCAAGAATAGGCGTTTACTAGACGATTGTACACATATCTAGGAAATCTAATAGAATGGAAATATTGAAGAGCTTATACGAGAAAAAAAATCTACACTGTTGATGATATGAAAGTTCATGGGGGGGCATACAGGCTCGCTCAGCCTACTGATGGGGAAAAAAACATCCCATATATAAATATGTTAAATCAGTTTTTTCTGAAAAATAGACCACGAAGTAAACTGTCCCTACGAGAAGTTGGTAAGGGAGTTTGAGGATCATGCTCACTATCAACTGTATCATTATTGTTTACTTTTCTTGATTCTTTTGTTTTGGCAATAATCGAAGATCGTTGAAACATTTGACTTACGCCACGAAGTTTTGGCTTTTTTTGCTTTTTGCCATGCTTTTTAGAACATGCTTCATCTAAGCCACCAAGAAATGATCCTGATGGTGATCTGAAAGAGTGACGAACATCATCCGAAGTACTGAATCCTAGATGACTAACTGATTCCCATACGGCACTTCCAGCTCGACACCTGAGATTCGCTGTGTTGCGATTGGGGATTACGTCAACACGGTGAAGAGGATTATCCAGTGTTGATAGACTGTCTAAGCTTGTTAAGCTAAGCATAGAGCTTCCAAGTACAGAAAATCCTATTTCGTCGTCATCATCATCTAACTCAAGACCATCATCAAATGGTTCTTGTCTAGAAGAGTGTGGTAGAAGACGTCTAAGTGCTTTAGGTGTCACAGGCAGATGACTAGGGGGCAGCATCGTACGATTTCGATGATTATTATTGCTATTGTTATTTCTCAATGCTGTGTTGAGAAAATTGCTCAAAGATGTGCATGAGGTCTGAAATATTAAACAAAAACAGATCTTAATACATAATAGCAGAATTTTATCAAAGAATAATTGTCACTATTTCATAACATAAAGATCATACATAAGTTACTTGGTAAAACCAACATTCGTATGATAATGACCTCGCAAGCGATACTTTAGCAGCAACGTCAGTTACTTGGTGCTAAAGAAACGGGGAACAGACAACACAGTAACTGAACTCATCATGTGCAAGAGGCATTTAGTGAAATGAATGAAAACGGAGGACTTTTGGCACATTTCTGCGCCTTGATTGATTTATAGAAATGTTAACAAAATGAAGGACACGAACAAGGCGACATGGATTTCACCACGGGGACTTCAGATAAACTTCAACTAAATTTCAAGACAATGAAGACGCAGTCTACAGGACACCAAGTCTACATAGAGAACAGCTGTAGGCTCAATTCACCACTCAGTACAAGTAATTTTCAAGATCGATAGGTCACCTTGTATCCCTTCAACCTAGACTTATTGATAAGTTAACCGGTTGGTTGTACACGAAAATACAACAGTCACAGAAGTTGAAACAATAAAAAAGATAAAACAAGTTACATTCACCACACATCATCGATTTAAAAATCAACAGTTTCTCCCAGCATACTTCCAACATATTCTTCTCCTTTATGCTAAAGTGACTGGGAATACTGATGTGTTAAGGTTTGAAGTAAAAGAAATATTAAGCTCCCCGAAAATCCCTTTCGACCGCAAAGCAAATGTTTGATACTCTGGTTAGTGATATATTTTCTCACAAATACTTTTCATATTACGCCACTTGTATGCTAGACGTCCCAATTTACAAATTCCACCAGGAATCAAAAGCAAACAGTGTTTTCAAAACCCATATGCTTTTTCCATTCAGACAACACAAAAACAAAGGACTGGTGGTGAAAATGAAACCTGAAGCAAGAAATACTTCTAAAATGCAACACAAGTGATAACAATCCATTAATTGTATAGCTGGATGTCTGCTGCAAGGAAACTGAAGTGATGACTTAAAACTTCTTTGCGATTGTCTGTCTGTATGTTTTCGACATAGAACTTTGTACGTATGTGCAGCAGTTCAAGTCGCCACACTCCCTCCATGTAGCACACAGAGCAGGAGAAGAAAGAAGAAGAAATGCATAATAGAGACAGTAAACAGAAGTGTGAAACAAAGGAATAGTCATAGCGAAGAACCATATAGTTTCATTGGAAATCATAAGACACAGAGAGTGTATGCATCTGCTCCAGCCATTGAGAACGATTTTGAGTCATATCAACAATTGTCTTCAACCATTGGGTTCTACCGTCCCGAGGACCCCAACCAGGAAGTCTACACCTTCCTACGTGGCTGGATGGCTTAAACTAACTGTTGTGAATTTCATTGACTGGTGTCATGTTTTGGTTTGACTAGCCAGCCGCTAGCTCTTTTCCAGCCTGACCCTATGTCAGCTTACATTGCTCATCGAGGAAGGCGATGACTAGACATACGTAACACATATCCTAACCATCTCAGTCTGTGTAACTTCACAGCCTTGTCGATTGATTTATCCTCCTCACCTAGTACTTGACGTCTAACTTCAATATTGCTCACCTTATCACACCTACACTTAACACGGGAGATAGAGAGCAGGCACCTAAGATCAAAGACAGATAATCTTCTCATGTCTTCCACTCTCAATGGCCACGTCTCACTCACAGCCATAAAGGAGGACGGAGTGCGCTGCTGAGCAGTACACACGCCCCATGGTCGATAGCCAGATATCTCGTCTACGCCAGAGACGGCGTAAACTGGCATATGCGAAACTGGCCTTCAGTTTCCGTGATGAGATTTCGACAGTGATCAACCCGTTGGCACTCGCTGATGCAACTTCTCGAATAAGTGAAGTGGTCAACGTGCTCCACCACTTCACTCCCTATTTCTAAACTGGGAGTCAGTGTAGTTCAGTCCTGTTACACCATCTTACATTTGGCGGGAGCGAATCACATGCCGAACATTCGAAGATTGCAGCTCAAGGTGTTCAGAAGACTCTGCATTTTGTCAGTGTCTTCACTCAGAAGGACTATATCATCTACATATTTTAAGTCAACGAGATTATACCATGGTAACAAGTCAATTCCTGAGTCTCTGAAGTGAGTTAGAGTTGGGTACACTAGTACATCTACGATGAAACTGAATAGAAATGGGGATAGTGGGCATCCCTGACGGACACCACTTCAAATGACAACTCATCATAAGCTCTCCCCTGGCTGACTGCATTAGTTCGAGTAGAGTGCCTTGGTCAGTGCAACATATTTTCACGTCATTCCTTTCACAGCCGAACATCGCCAGAGTACCTCTCGGTCGACAGAATCGAATTCCGTCTTTAGGTCAAGAAATATGAGGGTTGTTTGACGCCGTTAAGTTAGCCACCTGTGTTCCAGAATCAGTCAAAGCGTGAAGATATAATCAGTACACCCTCTTCCTGATCTTAAGCCTGCCGCTTGGTTCTCTCGTGTTTGTGTCTCCCGAGCACCACTTAGTCTACGCATTATTATTGAGCCTAGAACTTTAGACACCACATTAGTCAATCTAATCCCCCTATGGTTATCACAGGAAGACGTGTCTCCCTTCTTGTACAAAGGGATAAGCAGTGACTTACACCAATCCCTACACCTGCGAGTTTCCACCAACTAGTTGAGGGGTCCCCCGACACGCTAAAATGAATTCTGCAGATTCACCTTTTTGACCGGGTGGGGTTAACTGAATGACCCACACACAGGTCTTGTATGCGTGTCGCCGAAACACAACATACATCCATGGCTCGAGATGCCATACTTCTTGCTAGTGATGACTGTTGTCCGATTTGGCAGAGGGTCCTGACGTTAAATGCTCCTACATGAAGTTGGCGACGTGGCTTTAAAAAGGCTATATGGGATGTTGCTATGGCTCTCACCGTTGTTTGTGGTCACAGAGTGAAGTGAAGATGATTCACTAGCGTGCAGGATTGTACTAAATGTAGTAGAGAAGCGAGATGAGGAAGTGATGTGAGAAAAGGAGAGTGATGCTCGGGAAGGCTTCGTGTGCTTTTGGAAGTGTGTGGGCGGTTGTTACTTCCCGGCTGCCCACACCGTGGAAGTTGAATAATTCTTTGGGTGCTTGAATCAGAGGGAGAGTTATTGTTGCGTGAGCGCAGAGCCCAGGGGGGCAACTGCTTGAGGCCAGTCACACACGGCCTGTATGAACTGGTTTCTGGGATTGGTTCCGTATTAGTAAACTTATCGCCGGTTACGGACCACCGTAGGGTAAGTCGGAATGTACAATATTTTGGGGTCGACCTTTTCTAAGCCCTTCTCTCCGGAGTGGAATGGCAGCATAGCTGGCTGGCATGCTGGTCATCTGAGGGAAACATCTCACTGCTGTTACACCCCTGTTCCCCAGCAGTACGTCTTCACTTGAGACCCTAAGCATAGTGTAAGAAAGATTCTTACACGATGCCGGTAACTGCTTTGAGTCTAATCGCTATCCTAACAACCTTCCTGGCATGGTAGGACCTGCAGGAACATTTGTTTCAGGCAGTGTAGCTTGTTGGGTCATCGCGAAGTGCAAGCCCGACCACCACGCCAAGGTAGTAGCTATCGGTTGGGTCTTTGCGATTGCACTAACCACTTCAAACCGGTGGTAACCATTATAAATGTGTAAAGTAATAAAGTGATTAAACTTACCCCCAAAAACGATCCAAGCATTGAACGTCTTGGACTTGGCATAAGGTGTGTGTCGTTGGGTTGATTTTCATCTACCTCACTAGAAGATGGTAGTCTGTGAGATGATGTACATTGTTGAGCTTGTGCACCGAAGTGACGTTTAGTGGAGACAGCCAGGCGACGTGGCGTTTTTATAGATATGTTGCGAGTTAACTGACGGGTTATTCTGAAAAGGTGAAAAAAAAATTAGTGGATGTACAAATTATCACAAAGATATATATATATATATATATGTTGCAGCCAACACAACACCATTGAAATTTTTCTTCTGATTTAATAGAACTGAACAATACATATCCGTCAATAATAACTTCTTAATTAGTACACTAGAGACAGCTCAGTGATATCAGGGTGCAGGCCAAAGAAAAGCAATGTCGAGATAATATGTAGTAAGCCTCAGTAAGGAAACAGTAAACAAAGCTGAGAATCTAGATAAGTAAACCTATCAAATTGGAATGTCTTACATTTTACCACTCAGCCAGAACTAGACAGCGTCAGTCTATCTGATTTTAAAACAAAGATCTTTCACATTATGACTGAAATCCACCTGGGAGTAGAATCTTGGCACTGCATAACATTATGTAATGGAAGTATTATTATTAACTACATGCAGTTTTCATTGCATCACATATCATTTTCCATCTTACACCTACTCGAACACAATCTGACTAATTTTCAAGTGTTGACTCGCCTACGAAAATAATATTATGCTACAAAAAGAAAGATAACAAAATGATACCATTGAGTAAAGGTCAGTTGTTAGATACAAACTTTCTATTTAAGGAATGTCAATCAATATCACTGTTGCCACTTTAAGCACGAGAGAGTTAGTGAGTCCAATTTAACATAGTATTACGCTCTCCATAATAGGCTACCGCTTGTGATGATCTCCGTAGAACGAAAATGCATTCTAATACAACATACATAATCTTCCACGTAGCATCAGCTTAGTTATAATTACCTACGACTGTAATTGTTGTATCAACCAAACCGAAGTATTACCCCGATGTGGTACCTAGTAATTAACATTGTCATAAGGTATGCTGACACCTCCAATGACGCAGATGCAATCATCACCTGTTTTGTCCTCAATCTCTAAATTTTTTTCTCTTTTATACAGAAACACTGATTTCCAACGATGAAGTCGTTTCTATTAACTGTTATACACTGCGAGATAGTAATCAATACGTGTGAACACCTGTAAACCAGTTCTTGATCTTCATCACCTTAATGTGAAAAGTGTGAGAGTTATATAAAACCTTATTAATCCAGTAAAACGTAATATGAGGAAGATACATTCAAGGTTAATAGTGTTTAACTGTAAAACCCATTGGAAATAAGCGAAACACAATGTGTTTAATAAACAAGGTGATGATTGCATCGGTGGTATAGCGGTTAGCATGCTCGCCGAACATGCACAAGGTCCGGGGTTAGATCCTCGGCCGCCGACGCACTCCTTTACCTCGCTGAGCCAGAAATAATCCTTGTAAAGAGGAAAGGTTAGGCATGAGGCTAGCAACCCCATCCTGTAAAATTAAACACTGCTACAGAAACTTCAAGCCACTAGCTTGAAGCCCTTTGTTCCACTGGGGAACGTGAAGGAAAAAAAAAGTGAAGTTGAAGTTCTAGAATACAAAGCTAAATATTTGGCGATTTGATATCAAACATCATGAATGATGACAATTCTTTGTATTTTTCTGAAAATATTTTGGATTTATTGGTAAACTTGTTCATATGACCACTAGGAACTCATGTTTTTATAAATTAATTAACAATCTCAATGTTTTGGACAGCTGAATTTAATCTGATATGATTAAACAAGCCACACGAAAAAAACGTCCAAAGAAACTCCAGTCGCCCACCGCTTACATCTTGTAGTATGGGCACCCAATAAAATGAAGCCAGGTGAACAATCTTTGAATGTAGTAAATGATACCAAGTGCAAGACTCACCTTTTAGACGACAAAGCCACAGCAGTTGCATTGAACAGTTGTTCTAAGTCAAAACCAAGTAACTCAACTGGTTCCACATCTACTAGTATTTCTTCTGGATTCTTTGCTATGCATGAAACTTGGCAAATATGATGACACAATCGGTGAAGAAAAACTCGTTTGGCTTCACCAACACATGCTTGTAGCATTGCTACATGTGAATTATTCGTATTGGAGACGGATAAATTCAGTGATGAATTGTCCATATTAACTTGGTTGGAAATTTGCCCTGATGCTGTAGCAGCCACAACTGCCGATTCAACAGGCTCTGGACATTTACCATTGACAACAGCAGCTGAAGCTGCAAAACTAGCAGCTAAACAATAAGCATGAACACGATCATCAACCTCTGAACTGGAACGTACAACCACACCAAACGCAGCTCGGTCCGGAGAGGCAGTATCAAAATTTACCACCTACAAAATAAGGATGAAAATATTGAAATTAAGTTATTGAAAAGACTCTGTCAAAAACGTTAATCGGATTTAAATATACGATTGCTTAGGTGAAGTAGACCAACGCCCTTGGTTAATGACGAAATTGTTTATTGACAGTAATTTTGATCCAATAATTATTTAATCTCAACAGTTATAGACAAGTCGACATTGAGTAAATTAACTACAACCACATAACCTCGAAATTGTTAGCTATCACTGTGCAGTTTTGAGAGGTAACTTGTTTGTTTCACTTAATCTAGGTACATTAAAGAAAATTGCCGACTTAAAATTTAGCACTCCTGATTTATATGATAACATCCACGAAACGACTATCGATGATACTTAATAGAAAATGGTTACCATTGTTAGATTGCATACCAGCATTTCGAATTAGCATATCATTTTCATATTAAAATAAATGTAAAAGAGACAAATATACAGTGTAGAGATTGAGCAGAGAAAACAAAAAATTGACACGCGATTTGAAAACCTAAAGAACTTACCTGTTTTATTTCTTCTAACTTCAATAAATGTAAATGCTTATAACAGCATCTTTGTTTACCTTCCATAAGGCCAAGATTGACCACACTCGTTCCGGAGGCTCCAGAACCATTTCGAGTGACGGAACCTCCACGTGGAGTGCTGTTTGATGAAGAATCCCCACGGTTTAGTGAAATCAGGTCATGATTACCCTCGAAGTTATGTTCTATCCCCTCACCTATAAAATGGAGATATGAATTATTCACTAACCAACCAATTTGGTTCAGTTTATATTTCATAATCCAGACGGTTGAGGTCCTCAAGGCACCAAAAACCATGGGTTGGAGGCTGTTTGTGACATTGCTCAAAATCCTGCTCAATCACTCAGATGCATTTAACTCTTTGTGACCTCACAAATAAGTTAAATTCTTATTATTTCCACGTAATCACGCTATGGTTTATATTGACCCCCCTAGTTTAAGGATAGTGTGTGAAATGACAAGTGTCTTGAACACTCCATATCGAAATTGCATTGGTTACAATAGATTAATCGCTAATGATATATCAGCACTGATGCAAACGACTTGCATGATATTTGACTAGTGGTATCATTTTTGACGTCAATCGATGAGGTTTTGAAGCTGCACCGATTCAGATGAATATGACAATTACTACTCGTGGCAAGCCATCGACTTTCTCAGCGAGCAATGTTAGCTGACACATGAATATATTAGTGTACAAAAGAGTAAGAGGTGGTCAAATCAAAGACTGGCATTTTATTAGGTCTTTGACTGTTGATCTGAGCCGCGTAGGAAACTGTAGACTCTCTGATTGTGGTCCTCAAGACACTAAAAACCAAAGGCCTCACGCTTTCGATGGTATGACTCAAAATCGTTCTCAACAACATAGACGCATAAACTTCAAATCATTGTCCATGTGATTATTCCTTCTGTTGTACATTTCCGTTCACTATAACGTTTTTAAATTCTGTTCTACACTTATTTGCACTTTATGAAGCATGCAACTTGAACTGCAACATATTCATGAAAAGTCTTACGTTAAAAATTCCGTTTCAGATTTAACATTATTTCATCAGTGTCATATATCAAGGGGAAATATTGACAAAATAGTTTGAGCACCGTGACAGACAGAACTCACCTTGTACTGCAGCCAATGCAGCTCGAATTGCGTGTGCAAGAGGTTCACCAGTGAATCGTTTTCGCGGTCGGGCTACTTCTAGACTATCAGACAATAGGAAAAGTGTGACAGGTTCACAGGTAGTATTGCCAGAGGCGCTTACACCTAACTCGAACACATTAAGTTTTGCCACCAAACTTCGTGAAGATGATAACATCTCAGGCTGAAACCAGGAAAAGTTTGGTATATAATGAAACATTCAGTTACTTAAGGCATGCTTGGAAATAATTCCACAAAGAATACTACTTCTCAGGGAAAACGTACCGGGGCACCACTAATCTCGTGATATAAGGATAAAAGGGAAAGGCGCTCTTCGTTTTTCCTCAGTCGGTCATTGATTTTAGCCAACAGTTCGTTAACTCCTTTAGAAAACTGTTTAACTGCATTAAAATCTGGATGTGTCTTCGGCGTAAACTTCGCTATACCTGTAGAAAAAAAATAATGAGCGAATAAATGAGGGAATGCGAATATAAGTTTGGTTGGAGTAAAGAACAGATAGTCAGTACAAATTACAGCACTATTGGTTTAGTCTAGTGTCCAGGTGACTCTCATGGCATACAAATCATATACGCAAATGAATATTTTTAAACATGAGGTTATTAGATGACAGCAATAATTTATCCCGTATATGGTATGATTTTAACCTGTAACTTGAAGTGAATCGAGTTTATTCTGTCCACATAAAGCACATGTAGTATGTAAGAAGGTTATACGGGGTGTTACTGAGTGTAAATACATCACAGCAACCAGACAAAGACCCATAGAAAGTACTTTACTATACTTAAAGGAGAAATAATACCAAGTGACGTTTGTCTCAGAAAACCTATTGCTTTATAAGTAACTATTCGAAATCACCACAACATAGATCAAAAGAAAAAAATATACGTAGAGAACGGATAAAGAACTTCATCTGGAAGGAAAACAGTCATGCTTAACAAGTTCAAACAGTGTTCGTTAGCTATCATCGGGAAGGGAAGAAAGAAGGAAATTGCAACACATTCGCCAATGATTACGATTCTTGGCCATATCCGATAACGTTTCGAGCCATCGATTTGAGCTATCTCTCGGACCCCAACCAGGGAGTCGTGACACACCAACCGATGCTAATCTAGCACAAAAATCCTTCATCCCACGACGCCACGTCATGGACTGACCACCTCTCCGCCTTTTCCATCCCGTCCCAGGGCTAGCGAACAGAGACCTGTACGGAAGCCTCTGGGGTGACATTCGGAGCACATGTCCAAGCCACCGGAGCCGGTGTTTCCAGATGACGACATTCAATGAATGGTGATCTCCACTGTGTTCAAACACACGCCGCCGAACCTCAGAATTACTCACGCGATGATGCCATCGAACGCAAGCAATCCTGCGGAGACAGCGGTGATCGAACACGCAGAGTCGCCGCACATCCTCAGCTCCGAGAGGCCAGGTTTCACAGGCGTAGAGCAGGCAGCCCGCACCGAAGCATTGTATACCCGACCTTTGACAGCCAGGCTAACGTCGCGACGGCGCCAGAGGTGGCTCAAGTTGATGTATGCCACCCTAGCCTTCATTATACGGTTGGAAATCTCATCCGTCACCCCTCCGCCAGCACTCACACAACTACCCAGGTAAACAAACTTATCAACAACTTCAAGCGGTTCACCCGCAAGAGTGAGTGCAGGTACAGGCTCCTGCCAATCTTGTAACAGTACTTTGCACTTAGACGGCGCAAAGCACAAACCATACTTACAGACACTGATCGCCAACTGATTAAGTGCGATTTGGGCAGCCTGCATGCTATCGCACAGTAAGACGATATCGTCTGCATACCTCCAGGTAGCAGATCTACACCACCTTCACGCACATCCTTCAGAGCTGACGCCAGAATGTCATCGATGGCAAAGTTAAAGAGAAATGGAGAGATTGGGCAACCCTGTCTAACCCCACTGTTGGTTGGGAACGGTGGTGATAGTTGGTTGTATGCCCTCACTCTACCTGAGGTGTTGCTGTATAGGGCTTTCAGGATGTTAACAAATTTCTCAGGTACACCTCTCTCTAACAGACAGTTCCAGAGCACAGTTCTGTCCAACGAATCGAAGGCAGCCCTAATATCAAGAAACACAACGATCGTTGGCCTGCAAAACGTGTGGCGGTGTTCCAACAACTGACGAACGGTGAACACATGATCAATGCATCCACGACCTGAACGAAACCCAGCCTGCTCTTCGCGAATCAATCCTTCACGTATTTTGCACAGTCTGCGAAGCAAGACAGCAGTCAATATTTTAGACGCGATTGGTAACAGACTGATAGCCCTATGATTGTATTAATCATATCTTCACCCTCCGACAGATTCTAGAACATAGGAATTCCTACCGGCGTCCAACAGTCATTATATTTCTTGACCTAAAGGCAGCATTCGACTCTGTCGATCGAGAAGTTCTCTGGAGATGCTTGGCTGTAAAGGGAATGCCGAGAAAATATATTGCACTGATTAAGGCACTCTACTCGTACTCATACAGCCAGGTGAGGGCTTACGGCGAGCTGTCATCTGAACTGATGACGACCAGTGGTGTCCGTCAAGGATGCCCATTATCTCCTTTTCTATTCAACTTCATCATAGATGTGTTAATGGACTTAACCCTAAGTGACTTCAGTGACTCAGGGATTGACCTACTACCAGGGAATAATCTCGTTGACTTGGAATATGCAGACGATGCAGTCCTTCGAGGCGAAGACGCTGACAAAATGCAGAGTCTTCTAAACACCTTGAGATGCAATCTTCGAATGTTTGGCATGTGATTCGCTCCCGCCAAATGCAAGATGATGCCACAGGACTGGACTACATCGACGCCTAGTTTAAAAATAGGATGTGAAGTGGTAGAGCACGTTGACCGCTTCACTTATTTGGGAAGTACCATCAGCCAACGCCAACGGGCTGATCTCTGACGAAATCTCAGCACGAATACAGGGGGCTCATTACGCATTTGCCAGTTTACGCCGACTCTGGCGTAGACGAGATATTCGACTATCGACCAAAGGGCGGGTGTACTGCTCATCAGTCCGCTCCGTCCTCCTTTATGGGCTAGTGAGACCTGGCCACTGAGAGTGGAAGACATGAAAAGACTAGCTGTCTTTGATCATAGATGCCTGCGTTCTATTTCCCGTGTTAAGTGGCATAATAAGGTGAGCAACATTGAGGTTAGGCGTCGAGTTCTAGGTAAACAGGGGAAATCAATCGACGAAGTCGTGAAGTTACAAAGACTGAGATGGTTAGGACATGTGTTACGTATGCCAAGCCATCGCCTCCCTCGACGAGCAATGTTAGAGGATATAGGGTCAGGCTGGAAAAAAGCTAGCGGCGGTCAAACAAAAACTTGGCACCAGTCAATGAAATCCACAACAGTTGGTCTAAGCCACGTAGGAAGGTGTAGACTTCCTGACTGGTTGGGGTCCTCGGGACGGTAAAAATCTATGGTTGGAAACAATTGGTGACATGGCTCAAAATCGTTCTCAGTGGCGCAGATGCATCCACTACCTGTGACTTATGATCTCAATGAAACTGTTTTGTATTTCTTTATTACTCCTTTGTCTCACAACCTCTGCTCACTGTTTCTATTATGCTTTTCTTGTACTTTCTTCTCTTGCTTCGCGTGCTACACAGTGTGGCGACTTGAACTTCCGCACATTTGTGCAAAGTTCTCTGTCGCAAAAAGGACAGAAAGATTGTCACACGAATTACGTCGACCCTTTTTAAAGATGGGGACGATAATGGCTTCATTTCACATTGATGGTACGCTCTCTGTCTCCCACATCTTCCTGAACAACCAGTCAGAACCATTGTGAGAGTCTCGCCACCATCTTTAGAGAAAGCCGGGGGTAATTTGTCTGGGCCGGGCGCCTTATGGAGTTCATTACGGACCTCTGCTTCGGTGGGTGGGTCGGTACTAACCGACCAAGGAGCACTCGGGCTAATGATAGTAGACACTGAAGCTGGTGGCCAGCTGAACTGCTCCCGAAGTGCTCTGCCCAGCGTTCCAGGCGTCTTTTCAGGCTGGTAATTGGAGTGCTATCTGCCTCACAGACCGTCTCGCTGACACTTTGTTTCTTGCTGCCTGTGGCTCGTATGAGTTGGAACAGCTTCCGACTGTTGCCAGATGCAGCAGCTGACTCCATCTCACACGCACGTTCTGAACACCAGGCCTCACGGTCCTTACGTAAACACTGTCTAATCTTGCGCGTGAGCGCCTTTCGCTGATTGTTGTATTCGCTGCCAGCCGGAATGGACCGGCGTCCATCCAGGAGTTGCAAGGAACTCGCAGAAACCCAGTGGTTGTTAGCGGAGCATTCTTTCAAGCCGAAGGCGGCTACACTTGCCTTTTGCATGGCACCTTGCACACGAAGCCAATGTTCATCTATACTACTTGGGGGTTGCTGGCAAGCATTGTTTTTAACTCATTCTGATATTTCAAAGAAGTAGCAGGTGCTACTAGTTTGCTCACATCAACGCTTAGGCGACGGCTTTTACGAACCCCACCAAATCGCAAGATGAACTTGGCACTCACTAACGCATGATCGGAGTTCAGGCATGTGCTCCAGAAGGAGCGACAGTCTTGTATGCATCCTCGCCACCGGAAACTGACTGCAATATGATCAATCTGAGTCCAAGCTTGCTTTGCAGAGTGAGGACGCCAGGTAGCGCTACGGCGATGGCTGTGCCGGAAGTTGGTGCTGGCTAGAAATAGGTTGTGATCCGCGCAAAGCTGCAGAAGACGGTCCCCATTATCTGACCTGCGACCATGTAGTCCCCACTGACCACCTAGACGATTCTCCTCTGAGCATAGACGCCCGACCTATGCATTCAAATCACCACAATGGTTAATTTGGTCATTACCTTACTACTCCCTGATGTAAATTCAGTATATTATTCAACTCCACTGGATTACTTTACTTCTCAAAATGATTACCCCACTTCTGACTGCTGTTCACTACTACTATACCGGCAAATAAATTTGTTGATTTTTGTCTCCCACTTTTTAACCTCCATTATGGTTGTCTTGAATAGAAAACAGATTGACGTACTCTCAGATGACAATAACAGCAACAATCACTTCAGACGAAAAACATTAAAATTTTAAATGGACTAAATGCCGAAAGCTTTTGATAGAATTCATAAAGATAAAGAACGATTGAAACCTGTAAACTATTAGTTGAAATCAAGATTCTTGACCAATTGGATCAGTTCCAATGAGATGAATTACAAACTGACAGGTATAGGAAATACAGGAATTTACGTGGTGATGTATTAAAACACAAAAGAGTTTTCAAAATAGCAGATACATCAAAAACAAAAGTAGATATAGAAACACTTAACTAAGTTATGTCTAAACATTTGAACTAAGCAATAAATGATGTCTGTGGTATGAATTTTGACGAGGTTATGTGGTACAGAAAAGTTGGAGCGTAAATTCATGGTTCGACTGAGAGTGAGTTATTAGTAAAACGTTAGTAAATCAAATGAAAAAAATACATTGAACAAAGAGTAAAACAACAGTACACGAATCACCTTTTTTATTCCTTTACGCCCCTAGTCGAAAATAGGGCTTCCAGTTAGAGGCTTGAAGTTTCGGTGGCAGTGGTGTTTATTTTTACGGGATCGGGCTGACTAGCCTTATGCCCAAACTTGCCTTTTAACCAGTCTTATTACTGGTTTAGAGAGGTGAAGGAGTGCGCCGGCCCGGGATCGAACCCTGAACCGCCTGTGTGGTAGCGAGCATTCTACCACTGTGACAACGACGCACATAGTGAAGAGCTTGATACGTTCATTATTTGCAATAGGCTAAAAAAGGAGGTAATCGTGATGCTTTTCGAAGTTCAGCTGCAATACCATTTAGTGAAAAACTAACCGAATGAAATATTTCCTTAATCACCTCACAAGAGCGAGGAGAACAAGATTTTCAGACAATACTGTAAAATATATTTCACCGAAATATACGCCAGCACACACTGAAATATACTAAACAATCTATGGTTTTATATTTATTTTTAAATATTTTTCTTAATAGAATAAGCCTATGGAATAAAAGCATTATAAATATTTCTTTTCTATAGTTTGCTTTGTAAGGGTTAGTTATGTTTTTACGAGTTGATCACGAATTGGTAGAAGTTAGAATTCATGAGCTGGCCATTGAATCGGGTCCCAGTGGCTAAATGGTATACGAACTGGCCTTGTAACCGGGAGGTCCTGGGTTCGAATCCCAGTGGGTGCGTACTGCCGATGATTCCCAAACTAGGATGAAACAGTAGCTGTCCAGTACTCACTGGTTTTCAATGATTCTCTAACATATCAATACGTGATCAACTCGTAAGGACAAATATTTCCATCCAAATTTTCAACATAGGTTTTAAAAAATAAACATTTAAATGACATTGTACAATGGCTGCATGTATTATGAGGCTGTCAGTCGCGATAATTTGTGACTTTTTGCAGAAGACTACTAACCGTTATCAGTCTTAGACGAAGTCAGTGGAAATATTTACAGGCTTCAATCGCATACCAGGAAAGCAGCTGTTCACAAACTGATTCACAGACGCAAACATATGACCAAATCTACACAGACACCAGAGGCCGATATAGCAAAATCCATTTTGAAATAAATCGAATAAACTCAATTTCACTGTCTAAATAAACAACTACAAGCAGGATATCTAACCCAAGGAGGAAAAGAAATACATATTTCAAATATCGGATGTTAAATCACTGAATAGTACCAAAAACAATCCTAGCTATGACCTGACCAAGTGTAAATCCGGAAAATTTAAAAATAAAAACATTAATGTGAATTTAGCTTATAACAGCTTTCAAGATTACGAAAGTTTTGTCATTTACGCTCTTCGTAAAATCGATATGAACACTAAAATACTTTTCATTGTTTTTTAAACAAAAAAATACTCACCGTCCATAAGAAGTGAGATTGAAGGAAGCCGTTGTACTGGACGAACTAATAAGGCTGCTAAACTCTGGCGACCAGACTCTTTACGTTTCTCAACTTGGCGCATGAATGCCTGAAAGCGGGGATACTGTTCACCGAGATGATGTAAGTGTGGTGGACTATAAAATTGCATATAATTACCGTAGATCTGTAATGATAAGAAAGAAAAGAAATTGATAAGTGACCAGAAACAACAATTCTGGTAAAATGTATTGCATGAGTTTATCAAGTCTTACGATAGGTTAGAGATAAATCAATTAGAAAAATTAAACTTAAGGCTGTGAACAAATTCACCGATCATTCCATGTCAACAAACACCTCCTTCAAAGTGACCTACAAAGCGAAGAATAACCTGCCAAAGGCGACAGGCTTTTGCATTGCTGAAGCCATCCAGTTGAAAAAACAAGAGTTATGTATACCACTTCTACTATCATGGTAACAACCATGTTGACTTCCGCTAACTTGATATTTGTATACTGGCTTTCTAACTCCTTATAACATCTGTAATTTCTATAACTTTTACACAATTCCATATTTCCCTTTGTTTCTATGTGTGTCCTAATCACAACTCACTCATTAAACTTCATCCTATTAGCTAACTGCATTACGCCTACTCAACTTCTTTTATATGTTGATTAACATAATAACTGTGGTTTTTGACAACACATCTTCAACCCTCTGCCCTAGTTACAATTTGATTACTAATCACATTTTTGAAATAACTTGGAAAACACAACCTTAACTTTTCATTATCGGATAAACCTAATGTATGCACAAATAAAAAATAAGTATGTGCATTTGCGACTGTACAGCTAAGTGAGTGCTGGGTAAGGAGGAGAAATCAATCGACAAGGCTGTGAAGTTACACAGACTGAGATGGTTAGGATATGTGTTACGTATGTCTAGTCATCGCCTTCCTCGATGAGCAATGTAAGCTGACATAGGGTCAGGCTGGAAAAGAGCTAGCGGCTGGCTAGTCAAACCGAAACATGACACCAGTCAATGAAATTCACAACAGTTAGTTTAAGCCATCCAGCCACGTAGGAAGGTGTAGACTTCCTGACTGGTTGGGGTCCTCGGGACGGTAGAACCCAATGGTTGAAGACAATTGTTGATATGACTCAAAATCGTTCTCAATGGCTGGAGCAGATGCATACACTCTCTGTGTCTTATGATTTCCAATGAAACTATATGGTTCTTCGCTATGACTATTCCTTTGTTTCACACTTCTGTTTACTGTCTCTATTATGCATTTCTTCTTCTTTCTTCTCCTGCTCTGTGTGCTACATGGAGGGAGTGTGGCAACTTGAACTGCTGCACATCAGTGCAAAGTTCTATGTCGAAAACATACAGACAGATAGACAGACAAGTGAATGAATTCGTCGAACAGAGACTCTTCACTGCACATGTTTTTTTCCCTTATGTTTGGATGGGGATTATTCATGAATTAAACCGAAGTGTCGTCAATTTAGAGGATATGTTGCAGATTCACAATACAAGTATTTCACAATGACGCAAGTAGTAAGAGACCTGAAAAATAAAAAGTTGATGAACACTCAGGATAACCCGTTGGCTTACAAAGCTTCGTTTCTTAATGGGTGGCTATCTGTGCTAAGTAAAAATGTGTTGAGTTGTAGCTATCTTAGGACAAAGAACATGAAAACTATGGATGGCTTTATAAAATTACTCATGCAATTAAATTATGATTGCTTCAATAATGTTTGCATTGAGTTTTATCCAGCCTAGTTATAAAACTTCATATGAATCAATAATAACGGGGAGAGAATAAGGTCAAAAGGTTATGTATCTGCGCGTTAGTCTTTGTAAGTGAATCATTATGAACAAATTAATAAACTTGATAAATAAACCATATCTAAGCACTAACGGCAAAGTGGGTCAGCGAATTCGTTTTTTAGTTGTACAATAGCATATATATGTCTAAATCAAGTTCACTTTTAACAGTCTGAACAAATTTGGGCATGTGATATTCATTACAATAAAGGTTTTCTTGTATTTTTCAATAGCATTTACATACATTTTTTTCACAAAAGCGGATAGTAACACAACAGATGAGTCATAACGATCATAACTCCTAATATTATTCAATACATAAGAGAAGTTGAATAGGGGTGTTACGTAACGAGACAAATAATCGAATGACTCGTCATCAGAAAAAGTGTAAGATTTGCTTGTACAAGTTTGAAGATAAAAAAGTGGATAGGTCAGATGAGCCTCATTAGAAATAATAAATATACACAAGATCAAAAGTATGACGTAATATAGCATAGATCCAAGTGTACGCCAGAGTAGCAATAGTGATTGGATGTGTTTTTAAGAAAACTAAATTCTAGGTGTTTCGAGAGAATGGTTATAGCCTCTGATGTTAGAAGTATTTGCCAACTAATGTTTCTATTCACACATACCTCTCGGATCTTTGCTCTAAGTGATTTGATGTTGTTAAAAAAACATTTTGCATCGGTGGCACATCTGTTAGGACGCTCGCCGACTATGCCTATGGTTCGGGGTTGATCGCCGGCCGACGCACTCCTTTACCTCGCTAAGCCAGAAATAATGCTGGTAAAGAGGGAAGGTTGGGCATGAGACCAGCAACCCCATCCTGTAAAAATAAACACTGCTACAGAAACTTCAAGCCACTAGGTTGAGGCCCTATGTTCCACTGGGAACGTGAAGTTAAAAGTAAAAAAACATTAATGCTATCAACATAAAAACTACTACTTAGCATATATATATATATATATATATATATAGTATCACTGTCAAAAATCTGCACACGTATAAGAACTTACTTTATCCATTTCAGTCAATAAGCTAGTTTGAAGAACATCACCCAAACAACTCTCGGATGACCAATTATTTTCCAGTTCATTAAATTGAGGTTGCAAACGTTCATGCAGTTCATAAATGGCACTAAGTTTACCGAATATAAAATCAGCTTCTTGTCGAGGCAAAATAGGTCCATTTGGTTGATTTTCATCGATAACTTGCTATGAATAACACAAAAACATTTTTTTAATTACTGTAAGCTGAATATATCTGAATGGAATTTAACACATATTATTAAAATTGAAATCGAAAATGGCATAACCACATTTACCGGGTAGGCAGTTTGACATAAGTAACGTAAAATCTCCACATAATTTCGTTCTGTAACAAAAAATTCGAAAATGCGATGTTGTCTTTTTTCAAGCTTAACGCGTAATGGTGTTTCTTGCAGATCTGAAAGACAATAAGTAAACAAGTTATTAAAGATGACACCATTGTAATGCATACAGTAATATTACAGTCTATACAACTCTAAAACTTACGGTCACAACATCTAACACATAAAGCTGGAACTTGCTAACAGTAAACGCATAATCTATAACACCACAGATGACAAATCATACTGTAGATTCAATCCAGATAAAACAATTAGCGCAACATATTACTGACAAGGTGTGGTTAAGGTTCAGAAAGGTGTAGGCTTCCTGCTTGGCGTGTTCAGGATGCTAGGATCCAACAGCTGGAAACCATTGGAGATACGGTTCGTAACTGTTATTACTGGCGCATATGCGCTCACTCCTTGTTATCTCCCATATCTAGTAAACCTCCGCTTGCATTGATGGGTCGGTATGGACCGACCAAGTAGCACTGTAGCTCATGACAGTGCCTGCTGGCGCTGTTGGCCAGCTAAACTGCTTCCCAAAGTGCTAAAGCCCAGAGTTCCAGGAGTCTTTTCAGGCTGGTAATCGGCGTGATATCCGCCTCGCAGACTGTCTCGCCGACACCCTGTTTCTTGCTGCCGGTGGCTTGGATGAGCTGGGACAGCTTCCGACTTGTCAGATGCATCTGTTGACTCCCTCTCACACGCATATTCTAACCACCAAACTTCGCAGTCTTTACGCGAACACTGTTTGTTCCTGTGCGTAAGAGCCTCTCACATGTTGTATCCGCTGCCTGCCAGAATGGACTGGCGTTCGTCCAGGAGCTGCAAGGAACTCGTAGAAACCCAGTGGCTTTTAGTGCAACATTCTTGTAAGCCGCAAGTGGCTTCAATTACCGTTCGCATGGGAATGTAGTTAATGTTCATCTGTTACTTGATAGGTTGCTAACAAGCTTTGATTGTAACTGTGACTGGTATTTCAAAGAGGTAGCAGGTGTTTCCAGTTTGGTCACATGAACATTCAGATGACACTGTTTATGACCCCTACCAAATCGCAAGACAAACCTGGTACACACCAAAGCGTGATCGTATTCCAGGAATGTGTCATAGAATGAGCAGCAGTCCTGTATGCATCATCGCGATTAGAAACTTACAGCAACATCAATGTGAGTCCAGGCTTGATTAACAGAGGGGGACGCAAGGTAGCCTGTCTGTCTGTCTGTTTTCGACATAGAACTTTGCACAAATGTGCGGAAGTTCAAGTCGCCACATTCCGTGTAGCACGCGAAGCAAGAGAAGAAAGTACAAGAAAAGCATAATAGAAACAGTGAGCAGAGGTGTGAGACAAAGTAGTAATAAAGAAATACAAAACAGTTTCATTGAAGATCATAAGTCACAAGTAGTGGATGCATCTGCGCCACTGAGAACGGTTTTGAGCCATGTCACCAATTGTTTCCAACCATAGATTTTTGCCGTCCCGAGGACCCCAGTCAGGAAGTCTACACCTTCCTACGTGGCTTAGACCAACTGTTGTGGATTTCATTGGCTGGTGCCAAGTTTTTGTTTGACCGCCGCTAGCTTTTTTCCAGCCTGACCCTATATCCTCTAACATAGCTCGTCGAGGGAGGCGATGACTTGGCATACGTAACACATGTCCTAACCATCTCAGTCTTTGTAACTTCACGACTTCGTCGATTGATTTCCCCTGTTTACCTAGAACTCGACGCCTAACCTCAATGTTGCTCACCTTATTATGCCACTTAACACGGGAAATAGAACGCAGGCATCTATGATCAAAGACAGCTAGTCTTTTCATGTCTTCCACTCTCAGTGGCCAGGTCTCACAGCAGCCATAAAGGAGGACGGAGCGGACTGATGAGCAGTACACCCGCCCTTTGGTCGATAGTCGAATATCTCGTCTACGCCAGAGTCGGCGTAAACTGGCAAATGCGTAATGAGCCCCTGTATTCGTGCTGAGATTTCGTCAGAGATCAGCCCGTTGGCGTTGGCTGATGGTACTTCCCAAATAAGTGAAGCGGTCAACGTGCTCTACCACTTCACATCCTATTTTTAAACTAGGCGTCGATGTAGTCCAGTCCTGTGGCATCATCTTGCATTTGGCGGGAGCGAATCACATGCCAAACATTCGAAGATTGCATCTCAAGGTGTTTAGAAGACTCTGCATTTCGTCAGCGTCTTCGCCTAGAAGGACTATATCGTCTGCATATTCCAAGTCAACGAGATTATTCCCCGGTAGCAAGTTAATTCCTGAGTCACTGAAGTCACCTAGGGTTAAGTCCATTAACACATCTATGATGAAGTTGAATAGAAAAGGAGATAATGGGCATCCTTGACGGACACCACTGGTCGTCATCAGTTCAGATGACAGCTCGCCGTAAGCCCTCACCTGGCTGTATGAGTACGAATAGAGTGCCTTAATCAGTGCAATATATTTTCTTGGAATTCCCTTTACAGCCAAGCATCTCCAGAGAACTTCCCGATCGACAGAGTCGAATGCTGCCTTTAGGTCAAGAAATATAATGACTGTTGGACGCAAGGTAGCGCTACGGAGTTGGCCAGAAATAAGTTGTGATCTGCACAAAGCTACACAAGACAGTTACCATTATCTGACCTGCGACGTAATCTCTACTGACCACCTAAGCAACTCTCCTCCAAACATGGATGCCCCTGATCTGTGCATTCAAGTCCCCAGTCGGCACTACAATATCTCTCTGAGGCTCCTGTCTCGGAAAATCGCTGAATTGGTAGTAAAACTCGTCTCAACTGCATCCGGGCTGCAATCCGTCAGCGCATAGTCAGAGAAAACAAACAAGCATCGCCTATCTCACCTACTGCTTCTTACTCTCGTATAACCTACCAGCTTCACAATACAGAAAAAATTGTAAGTGGGAATCCGGTCAACTAATGCAGCTTCGGCCATAGAGCTTAGTGCAATAACAACACCAGCTACGCCGGATGTTGATGTCATAGGGTTCCCCCGCCGAATAAGCGCAGGTGGTACATACTATATTGAAACTTTCAGATGGAGATATTCAAACCTTCACTGAGATCTTGAATGCAGGTCTCTGAAGTGCAACAGGCATCGATGGGGAGGCTTTCCAATGTGCTTACCAGATCTGCCTGTTGTCCAATTTGCGTCAGTGTCCGAACATTATAGGTGGCAAGCTTGAATGCGACAAGCGGATTCAAGATACCCGTCTTAGATATCGCACTAAGGGCCAGCATTTTCAAGGACGCTCGTCGACATCTCGAAATGACACAGATAGGCTGGGAATTCAGACAAAAACGAGAAGCTGGTGAAAGTGAAGACACCAAGGATATTAAAAATAAAACACAAAAGTCTATGTATAAGAACAGGGTTAAAAAACGTGTTGCCAAAAATATAATTGTTCGTGAGCGCGAGAATGAATGTGTGGTTAATTGTCCTCATTATTTGTTGTTTCATTGTTAGTGAATATGTTAGAAAGATGAACAATGTTTATGGATGGCAACAAAATTGAACAAATAACAAGTAAAGAAACAAATTACCATGGCAATGACGTGTGGGCCATAAATTCCGTCAGTACGTACGGATAAATTAGACCTCAATTGTCGAATTGCTGCTGCTTCTGCACATAGTAGTAATCTACGATTACTCTGCCTATTTAGCACTCCAGAAGCTCTGCTGGAATTGATGACGTGACCTATGTCAAAGGAAACGTCTAGCACTAGCACTGCTAGGCGAACTTACACCTAATCACTACTTTTTTGGTACATCTTCGGGGATTCTTTTTGCAAAAACTCTCTCAGTTCTTCCTACGTGCATGCAATGCAATGAGAATTTATTTTTTTTAAAACCTTCGTTTGCATATTTTTTCAAACACAAAAATATTCAGAACATTTTTGGCACTGGTTTTGTATTTACAATGACAATGAAACCATTTGGGTAACGGAGAAACATTGCAAGCCCGATACATATTTAAACAGCAGTTTTCACAACCAACCTATGAATTTGTAATAACAAATGCTAATTCTACTTATAAACAAGAGTAAAAAATGGGAACTATCAGTACTACAGACTTAATAAATAGTAAACCCACGACCTGGAATATGTATTTATCTATACAACCGTCACACATCAGGACAATGAGAAAGCTAACAAATCATCATATAGGGAGGCAGAGATGTTACTATTTCACAGAGATTGTGAAGTGATTCAAATCATATCATCATTAAATTCAAACAGCTATACTTAGGTTTACTTCAAGCATAAAAATATTCTGTCGCCTAAAGATAATGGAGATACACACATACGCCTACATAAACAGGGATCCAGGAATTTTGTCCTCATTCAACGGAAACCTTTATATTCTATAACAAGAACGAAATAAATGATAACTCGAAATGCACTATGATATCACTCAGCAAATGTGAGAAATATCAATTAGTCTGAAACTGTTATATAAAATAATACGCAGAATCCAAGTAAATAAAATAAAAATCGCATACTTAAACATAGAACATACCTGATGGAGACGCATTAGTTCGTGCAGCACATGGACCATTGGAAGTGGATAAATTTAGTTCAGAACAAGAGGCACGTGATTTCCTCGCTGTTGAATGAAACAAACTCAATCGACTGGATGATTTTCGTTTTCCACTTGTGGGTGTAGATTGTATTTCTACAGATTGAAAGAAACCAAGCGATGATCAAACTCTTACTAAATCAAATCATAAAAAACAAGACATGCGCTAAAAGAAGAGATAATAATAAAAATGACACTTTTACTTCGAACAGTTCAATATTGCTCCTGTGCAAGCTCTAACAATAGCCAAACCAAAGGCATAATCCAGAACCGAAGGTCTTTTATAGGTGCTGGAACAGCGAAACACATTGAACCTACAATTACCCTGCTGAGTTTTCTGGAAAATTAGCTGAAAGATGTCTTTCTGTCACTAAGTTTTATTTTATTGCAGGCCCAAACATTTGTTGTACACGGATTGCACTTACATGACAAGGAAAGTGACTAATGGGGAGGCTTAAAACGCCTCGTAGTACCTACTAGGTTACCGCGAATTCATTACATCCTTTTGATAACCATTAGTACATTTCGGCAGACAAGGATTATATTGTGCGAAGCTTTTACTCAAGAGATTACCAGGGTCTAAGAAAGGACCACGGAGACTATCCCAGTAACTCCCTCGGCGCCCTCACTTAACTTACCCTGAAACTGGGTAGACATAGCTCTAGTGTCATCAGACTATGATGCCCCGTCATATGATGAAGACTAGTTGTCTTAGGTCACCATCTGTCCGCGTACCACAATTCCCTCGGTGAGGTCCGACAGATAATGCGAATCACTCTCTACACATCAAACATGGTTGGCTGGCAATCGTAGTCAACTAACGAAGACGAAGACGTAGCACCAACAAAATATCTACATACACTTAATACTACTAACACTTCCTCCCCTCCCGACTGACTCTCAACTAATTCCTTCATACCTCTCATTCGCCGTCTCCATTATTAGTTATTCACTTCCATTACCCTTCCCTCCCATTCTCCTCTCCTCACTTCCCAGTTCTTCTTCTTGTTTCTCCCACACTAAAGGAGGAAATACCTCCTCCTGATATCTTCAAACCATGTCACTTACTCCTCCTCCTCCTCGTACTACTACTACTACTACCAGCTAGACATTCACACATTAACCACACACCCCCCCCTTTCAATAACTTCACCACTCCAGTACACCCACACAAACACCTACATTGTGATTTTTAATCCCATACAACAGCCATACTTGCCCATTCACTCTTCCTCATTACAATCACTCACTCAAACAATCAGTCAATCAGGAACTAGTATCCTTTACTTCGGAATACCACTGACGGTTCCTAAAGGCCTACAGATGTCAGCAGAGAGTCACGTCTTCAAACTGCAAGTCACTTCCTCCTCCTCCTCCTCCACATCATCATCATCATTATGGATAACTATATCTCTCGCTTATTCCATTGAATAGCTAGCTAGCTTCTTACGAGTTCGACTGAAATCCCACTATAATTTTAGCCTTGGCTTACGAACCCATAATCAATACCCCCTAATTTCACCAGTTGAATGAAGCATAACAAAGCTCATCAGCACAGTGTCGTCCAGAGTTACTTCTAAAGCCTTAATTAAGGTTAGTCTCGATATACTCATTCTATTTAACGGGTGTAAGGATGCATTTTAGTGTGATGATAGAGATAAGTGGGTTTTTTTAGCCAACCAACTACACTTACTTTCAAGCTGGAAAATTCAATTCGGACAGTTGAACATATACACTAACGAGGTCTCGCTTTACATACATTAACACAATTAACGAGTAATCTATCTGTATCGTTTACCTGTATTGTTACCTGTGAGATGAAATTCCTGACCGACTTCAACCATTTATCCGATCTTCCTCTGACGTTCAACAGATGGCGCTCCGCGACAACCTAAAACGTCCCAAATTTACAGGCAGTAATACTGTTACATAACAACAGATTCGCAAGGGTAAAAAATTCAAATGTTTTATAAGGGGAAGTGGAGATGAAGCTACAAAGATTGTTAAACTTGCAGTTTAATTCTAAGCCGCCAATTATTTGAAATCCACTAACATTGAGGAATCGGAAATTAACAAGCTGTGTAAGACTATGCAGCACTACATCTTTATATCAAATTTTTGGGCAGCTTGAAGATTCTGAATCCTCTGTTTCGCTATGCAAATGCACGACTTACTGACCTAATTAGTAGTGATTGTGTCATAAATCAATGATAAAATAGGATACGCAACCAACATTGTGAATGCGACAATGTGATATTTTTATTCTTATTGCCTATAGATTCCCATACATTAACAATATCATACATTTTATAAGGACCCAATGTCGCTATGTCACGCAAAGCAGCATTAGGTAAGTAGTAGCGGTTACAGCAATAAAGTAAGTTACAAAAATACAACAATATACTGCTGAAGCTGATAATGTGAGCAGTGGTATTCCGAAAAACCTAATGCACAGTTACATCCAAACCCACCTGAATTCGAAATTTCAAAACCCGCGCCGCACCTTGGCGCTTCTTTTTATCGAAGTCCGAATCATTTAATTATAACATATTTCAGATATGAGAGTTGAGCCATGATTGATTATGCTTCTTCAAATTGCTCAACAACTAAATTAGGAATTCGCAGTATGCTGATTTAAATGGAAGACTAACACGATGACCCACAAGAAAGTGAGAGTTCACCTATTTCATTCAATGATGTGTTTAATATATGTCATTGAAGTCAACATGTGTGGTGAGCAGCTTCCATGACTTACTGTTTAGTAATAATCCACATCCAGCTGAGCTGGCACCAAGATGAACGGAGGCGTTTTGCATTCTTATGTTGCGTAGATCGAAGGGTTTAGTTTACCATTGACGAATTTCCCAGGGTGTATGAATGATCACACTAAGAGTTTTTTCGATTTACTCACTCCTTGTTAAACCTGTTTTCACAGGCAGTCACTTTAAGCTGAGCACACTTGAAAAAATATTCATATCTTGTCACAATTTTGTTCTTTCCACACTCCATAAATGAGGTATGATCATGTAGAAATCTTTCATAGATAACAGTTGCCTCACTAAAACAGTTAAAAATTTGATTTAAATGCAGACGAAAATAGTTGAGTCCTCTTATCGTTCAGTTAACCCTCACGTCACCACCAGTCGTCGCTACATGATAGACACCTTTCAGTGATTATGATCGTTGAGCGTTTGTTCATTGGCCTTGGTCGCCATTGTAGGGCAGCTTGAAGGCGCAAGTGATTCGATCGCGTAACAGTTAGAAGAAGATGAATGAATACGAATAAAAGTACAGTACATTCCTTGTCAAAACACTTGTTTATAAGCTTAGTACAGATTACTGATTTTGGCAATCTAAGAATACAATTTATTGTCGTTCAGTGTGTTTCTGAATTGAAGTCGATATATGTGCTCAATGGTTGTTTATTCAGAGCGTCTTCGAAAATAATAGGATCTAAGGATTGAGTCCCTTGACAACACCCTTACTGTTTAACGGTTAATTATTGAATACTTCAAGGATTTGATTTGCTCCGATTTTGATCGCAGATTGATTTCAGTAAAAGGACCCTGGGAAACTTCTTTCTGCAACATGTTGTTTCTCAAAAGCCTGCACTCAGCTTACGCGTTCTTATAGTAAATACCTGTTTTCCTTGTGATAAAAAGAATGTGGGTTTTTTAACTGGCCCATGGGCCAGGTGTCAGTTGCATCGCTTCCATTTTACTGAAATGTGATGAACTGCATATTCATGTGCCTCTGTAGAAACTACTCAGTTTTTACAGATAGGTGGCCTATTGCCTCTTATCCTTTACGAAAACTTCCTTCCATCCAATATATGAATGTGGTCTTAACCACTATTCTTCGAGAAATAGCGCAATCAACAAGAGCTGTGTTATACTTTTAACAATTGAAAAGATTGTCAAGGACCAGTGAGTATACTGTCGGCTTCCCAAGCATCTCATCACCCACCAGACGTATAATTTCCTGACATTGAATCCAAATCTCTCATGAGCTATGAAGCCCAAAAACAGTACATAACGGTGGTTTGTGACAATTTTGTTTCTTTGTCTTGGTGTCCACAAATATTATGACAGTGCGCTCCAAACCATTTTATTAAATAACTAAATGTTTTTAGCATGCAGGGCCAAGATCGAAAATCCTTGTCCCTATGTCATTATAAAAAGCCCATACGAAAAAAGTTCCACCTATGCTCAGTTATAATAGAAATGTACTTATACGTAATCATTCATCTTCATCAAGAACTTCAGAAATAACCGGTTGCTGGAAGGTTTGAAATTCTCAATCAGTAAATCTTCCTGACATAACACTAATGGTTTTAATCATTTTTTTCGACTTCACGAATTAATTTCCTGAACAAAAATCCTCTCCTATGACCAGAGTCTTGTAACACTGAAATAACTGCATAGCATTTTGCTAATGAAAACCAGATATCCACTGTACTTGCTCAAAACCCAAGAATCAAAGATAAGATATCATTGCACATGCCTTCCTTAGTCTACATGAGAATACGCGAAATTCGTTTGTCATAAGGGCAAGTAGTGAGATTCCTATCACTTCCAGCAAATCTCCAGGTGGCTGTACACGTAGTCCTATGCTTTTATCCTCCATTACGACACCATTATTCATGACCTGACCCTTTGTTTTAAAAATTAAAAACATTTAACAGGCATTCATGATAAATGGAAAGGTATATTTATAGGAAAAAGCATAAAATGGTCACAGAGGTATTTTTCCCTAACATATGGAAGGAACATCTCTCAGTTTAGCATAGGACTGTCAATGGGGAAGTCACACCACATTTTATACATATATTCATCCAAATGACTATAAATGAGATCCTTTTGAGATCCATTTATAGCCCTTATTCTGTTTAATTAATCGGACTCAAAATCCTTCAATAGAATTTGTATGGGTTCCCGTAACGGGATCCACCAAATCCGTCGAATGGTTGACTCGATGATGAATACATCCTAGAGTTGACAGGGAATTATAACCTTTCCATTTGTCTGTATGTACTATTGATCCACGTTTTACAAGTTTCATAATAATAGGTATTAAAGTAGTCGCCTTTCTGTCTGCTATCCTTTCGACGAATCCCTTTCGGAGGGAGGTGTCATACAAACCTATTACCCAAATGTTGTTCGCTCGCTGGCGACCACGGTTGTATTTCTTTTTCACCAAAACTGTTTCATCCACGTGTACAACGCTGCCCTCTCCGCCCGACAATGAAGTAATTCTCTCCATTTTCCATGATGTGATGTCTCTGCAATGGTGGTACCACTGAACTGTTGAAACGAGGCTACTCTCCGTCTCAGCAGCTGCAGCTGTCACTGGCCGTTTCAATACCCAGTAGTTGCAGATATACAAAATTTGTACCAACGAGAAGTGTGACCTAGCAAAAAAGTTCCCAAAAAATATTGAAATCATCAGCTTACCCGCTCTAAAGCTAACTGTCTTCAAGCATATTGCACAACGATGAACATATCAATTAGTTGGCCAGCTATGGCTCTTTAAAGTCATGACACCACTACACGAACAACTTTGCTCCATTCGGAGCAACCCTAAATCCAGGCAATACTAGAAAACACTATCATCCTCTAATTGTAACCGTGACCTCGTAAGGGCAGGCATTTGAAGTGAATCAAGCACTATGCAACATTGAACTAACGTTCGTGAATCTCATTGGTTAATTCGACGTCATTCGCTGATTGGTAGTAAGTGGTGATTAAAGTTGAATTTTTTGGACCACAACTTGATTCCACACAGTACTCTTTCGTAGAAGTATGGAATTTTCAACATGTGATATCGGTAGCCCAAATTTCGCAGGCCGACCATAGATATCTGGTGTACGTCGGCAGGGGATCGAACCCCGCACCATGTGCATGGTCGGCGGGAGTCCTAACCACTCTTCCACCGCCGTACATAATCTGTAAACAAATGTTTTATACAAAATATAAAGTATCTTTATTCGCTTTCTTTCGTCTTCTTCGAACCTGTAAACGATTGAACCATTCGCGCCTTTAAGTTATCCACCAATGGCAACCAAGGCCAATGAACCAACGTCCAACGTTCACTTCCATTGACAAAACCTTTCTTTGGTACAGAAGCTGTCTTTTCGAGATGTAGTCTTTCTTCACCGTGACAACTGATGAAGTTCTCTGGGTAACCATTAGCTAATAAAACTGAAGGTGTATGTCGAAGCTCATCCGTCAATGTGTCGCTCGTACATTTTTTGCGGGCCCTGGAGAACAAACATTTCACTAGGGAACGTTTATGCTGGATGAGAACGAAACTGGTGAAGTGAAGATATTGTCCAATCCATGTCTGTTTACGAAAAATAGATCTCTGAATCGTTCTATCATCTCTCCTGGTCATTATAATATCCGGGAATCCGAGTTTGTTGTTAGATTCCAGTTCGGAAGTCACTCGGATAGTTGGATGAATTTCATTAAATAGGTTAATGGATTTACTATTATTACCAATAACGAGAGTATCATCTACAGAACGTTTATATAGCATAAATTCTCCAAGTATACCTTGCATTTGTCTCTCTAATTTCAACATGAATATATCTGCTAACAGAGGCCCCAGAGGGCTCTCCATCGCAGCACCATCAATTTATTTGTATGCCTTTTCTTGAAAGGTGATCCTAATATTTTCTGCACACATTAAGATGTTGTCTTTGATGTAAGTTACAGGAATAGGTAAGTTTATCCCATTGCTTGTGATGTAATCGCAAATGAAATCAACAGTTTCATGAAGGGGAACATTCGTGAGTAAAGATTCTATGCCGATTGAAGACATAAGCTTTTTCCTAATGTTCAAGATGTCTAGCACATTGGTCAGATCAAATGAGTTTTTTACAGAATGATTAGATAATAAGTCTCTCACAGGCATAAAGACTTCTGTAATCCATTTCGCGATTTTGTGGTATGGAGAATTCGGCTTGTCTAAGATGGGTCTCAGTGGGGTCCCAGTTTTGTTGATCTTCGGAGGGCCGCAAAGCCAGGTAGTATGTGACCAAATAGCTCCAAGTTGTTTATAAAGTTTCTCGTTTTTGAAGCCATGCATCAGTAAAATCTGAAGCTGACGACTGATCTGATTTTCTACAAGTAGCACATTATCAGCAGCATTGTCCACCAGCAATTCGGACTGATCTTTGAGGATATCATTCATTTTATTCTGATAGTCCGATTTATTCATAATGAAAACGCCTTCTCCCTCATCGGGTTTAAGGATAATAAAATTGTATTTTTAGATTAACTCTTTAAGTGTGGAGTGTTCTTTTGATAAACTATTTTTCTGGTGTATTCCGGCTTTTAGAAATTGGTGAGAAACGTCTACTATTTTAACTTTAAACTAGTCCAGATTTTGTTTACTAGAGGGGGTTAAATCAGAGATTTGATCATAGAGGTTTCCATATTGTGACTGGACTTCCATTTTGTTTATTTTCATAGGAATAGTTTTGTACTTCAATCCATAATATAATGCTTCCAACTGTAGTTGGGATA